CTGTCTAAAGCAGAAACATAAATTACAAAATGGATTACAATCCTAAATCAAACATAAATTAGAAAATGGATTACAATCCTAAATCACGTTGCCAAAAAGACTTTTATTACTTTAGTTCAAACTATTGGGGGGGGGGGGAGGCAAACACAATTTGGAGATTTTTAGACCCATGAAAACAGGCATAATTGCTTTGTTCGGATGCTGGGAAACCCAAAGAAAAATGGGAACATAAAATTGAAAACACAAATTCATAACAGAAACATTTACCGATACTCCTCAGTACAAAGTCATCTTCTGCCAAAACAGTATCGTCTTACAAGAACTTCTCCTAGCAAATAACAGTGGTATGAGTCGTGCATTGCAACCTTTCAGCTGCAATTCAGAGAATACCCTTAATTTAGTAATTCGGAAGATAAGCTTGAATGTAGATGAAAATACATATAATCAAGCATGGAAGACACTAAAATACAGAATCTGTGCTATAGACAAGTTACAAGATCTTGATAACACGATTTCAAAATTATAAGAGAATGTGAATTAAAGACTCACCAGGCAACATAAAGGTGTTTCCAGAACTGCAGTTTAGACATGTCTTTAACCATTATACAGTATTGTAAAGTGATGCTTTGAAACAGTAACTGTGAGATTAGAAATGGTCTAAGCACATAACAGCCCTATTCAGTCTGTGAGGAAAACAATTTTACAATCTGATAAACCAGTGATCTTCAAACAAATGTGTCTCAGTAAACTTTCAACATGAAAACTTTATGTCAGCTATAGGCGGTTTCTATAGATGCAGTTTCTAGTAAAAAATGACCTTCTAACCAGGAATGTGGAATGATATCAAGCCACTCTGTACACTTGCGGAATTAGACTTTCTCACTTGCAAACTATGATTTTAATAAATGTCACTGTAGCTAGGGGTGAAAAGGAAAGAGGGACGGCAAATCAAGTATCGTATACAAACCATCCCAGCAAGCAAGATCTTCTCTACAAGCAATAAAAATAATAACTTGGACTCATCTTTCTCTTGGCAACTGGCTCTTCTCCTCTTCCTGTAGCCATACCCCGCACCCCCTGCATTGACTCATAGGCATTACATTTTGTGGCTGACTGCACACCCCAGCTTAGCTTGCTGGAAGGGCTGCTTCACAAAGCCACAGCAGAGCCTGAAGTTGTTCTACCCATCAGACGTCCTGGCTGGCTGCCTTTTCAGCTAGCTAGTGTCCATTCACTTGTGACAGCGCTTCTGCCAGTTGCCGTTTTCTTTTCACACTCCACAATTGCTTCAGCTTCACCGCAGGAGTCCAGTGCCATACAGACTGGCACAGATCTCTGGCCTATAAACCAGACTTCCTTAACAGATCTTAATCTTTCCTTTCTTCCTTGGCCATGAATTTCTCCTACCCAGAACTCCACTACAGCTTGGCCAATCATTTAGTCTGGGCACAGCTGTGTTGTCCTTCTCTTCAAAGCATAAATACAGCTTCGATAATTCCATCACTTTTACTACACAGCCATTTTTTAACAGACATTGGACACTAGAATCCCACTGCTGTGGACCTGTGACTGATGCGACAGACTTCCTTAGCTGAATGCAAACCTGTTAGGGCCCCTTACGCTTCGGCTACTGTTGCTGCTACAAGGATTTGCATTTGCTACATGCATTTTGAAGTTGTTTTTTTCTCTTGTTGCATGCCAAAATATAGTTTTGGGCAAGGGAAGGAAATCAATAAGATAGCTGGGGATAGGTATGTGCACTGGCACCCACTCTCACTAATAGGAGTTTTAATGTTCACTTGAACAAGCAATACAGTCCCCAGAAGTCTGAAATAGGAAGACTCCACTCTAAATGCACAGAATAAATGAGACCTGTTTCATCCTGACCATTGGACCTTTTCATTCAGCTTCCCCTGCTCCCTACCAGATGCTGGAAGGGTGGCCAGCCCTTCTGGCTTTCCAGTCCTATCCAGTTCGTGGGGGAAGGGAGGATCCTCTTCTCCTTTAGGCCTTGGGCTATAAGACTTAAATCAGGAATGATATGTTCTCATCCTCTCACATCGTGGCAAGCTTAAGCACATTACAGCTTTCTTCCTTAACGGCTAAGATTGATATGGAGTGTATTTGTGAACAAAACCACCTCAGGGAAGAATTTGTTCTTCATCTACCAATATCCAAAATGGTTCTCAGAAAAGCAGAACAAAACAGATCATTTCCAATAAATGATACTTAAGTAATTCCAGTGAATGACCCCCCAAATAACATACACATGGAGGAACAAGCACTTAGTCCATTCCAGGCTGGTACTAAAGTTAATTGTTCAGCCAAGGTCACTGGACAAAAAACATTTAAAATTAACTCGATTGGTCTTTTTCATTCAGATGAGCAAGGTCACCAAAACCATTTCTAAGATCAGAACTGCTGTGGATACCAACTACCCTGGGGTGACTTGTTTCATCAGCTCAGCAAAGGGCTTCTCAAATT